AAATAACCCACCAGCCCCAGTAATTAAAACTGCAAGTTCAGCTGTCCTAATGCCCTAAAGTTACCCAGAAATTTGTGCAAGGCTATGATGTGACAGCTGTAACCAAAATAAATAAAAATACCTGATTGACGTCCAGTTTAAGACTTGTTTACACTGAAGCATCTGTATGGAAAAATGTTCTCCCTGCAAGTCACCATGACACAAAACCCAGCTACACCAGGAAGACGTGCTCCACTAATTTGAAAAATGACCTGTATCACTGTGGCACACTTCTCTGCAAGTCCCATTTCATTCCATGAGGACAGAAGCCTTACATATCTGTTTTTGAAAATTATGTCTTTGTCATAAGAACCTCACCATGTGTGTATTCCTACTTAAAAGAAGGCACTATCCATCAACTCTAGTGCTGATTTTTCCCTGTCTGCAGTAGCAGCTGAACACTGGGAGCGACTGCCCAGGCAGGCTGTGGAATCTCCTCCTCCAGAGATTGTCCAGAACAGGTCAGACAAACATATGCCCAAATTGTTACCTAGAAGTCAGTCTGCTCAAGGGTGAGGAGATGGACTAGGTCACCTCCCAAAGTCCCTTCCATCTCTGCTTTCCATTGTTCCAAACATACGGGATTCCCCCTTCTACACAAGGGGGTATCTGTGGTTTTGAGGAGCCTTTCTTTTTAATCCCTTTTGCATCCCTCCAGGCACACCATTTCCCAATTTGAGCTTGCAACTCTTCAAAAATGGGAATATCTCTTTAAACACACTTTTGACCCCCTTCTAAAAATTGTTGTTTGAGCACAGTGCTTGCTCCGCTGCTCACATTAGACATTTTGACACCCTTGCAGCCCTTTGCATACAGCCACTGGGTCTGGCCAGGCTGTGCGCACTTTCTTTTTTCCTTCATAATGTTTCTAGATCCCTTGGAAAGCAGATATGCTGTAGTATGAACGGTGCGGTATAGGAGGTTACCTTCATGCACACAGGAGCACACTCCTTGCAGCTCTTATGCACAATCACGTTGCAATCTGAAAGAGAAGGTACGTTTCAAAGCCTGGCACAGAACAGGGTCCCCGGCCTGCAGAAAACATTACTGGGAGGCTTCACCTGCTTCCCTCCTCCGGGTCCACTTACTAAAGTAGCCCTGAAGATGCCTTGATGTTACAGCCCCTGGCTAGGAAGAAGTTTTTGCCTAATATGCTGGGGCTAGGAGATGGCTATGGTCCCTCCTGAAGCTGTCACCTGCCATCCTTCCTCCCTCTCCCGCTTATTACATAAAGAAGGTACATCCAAATCTAGGCCAGGTCTCTCTTTGAAACAACACACTTGAAGCAGGATCTCAAAGCAGGATTCGGAGCACTGTAAGTTCACACGCGAAAGCCAGCGACTACTTACGAGAGCACTGCAGTGACTCCTTTCCTACGAGGGCCTTTTCACAGGCCATACATGGGATAACCCCTGAGAAGGTCCCATTTGTAAAACTGTGCCTATTCAGTTTCTCTTTATCTTTGGTATCTTTATTTTTTGTCTTCATCCCCAACAGCAGAGGCGGAAAAAAAGAAAAGAAAAAGACACATTAGAAAAAAAGATAACTTAATACAATCTTGAAAACACTAAAACATTCCCTGTTAAGAGCAAATTACTCTAAAACATTTATTCCCTGTCCTGGAAGACTTGTAACAGTATACTATATTATTACATCCAACATCACTCAAGTCCTAAAATGATGCAGGCATTGCTTTCACTGGCAGCTAAGCCAGCCAGCATTATCAAGGAAGACTGGCAGAAACACAATTATAAAGCTGCAAAAAGGGGAGGACCAGAAAATAAAATTTAAGAAGTGTTATTGACTCACAGCACACACCAACAAATATCAATGCCCACATCTCCCTGAGGTATATGTGCAAACTCGTGCCTCTGCAGTTAAAGCTGCACTTAGGTAAATTTAGAAAATTTGTCTTTAGATTTTAGGAGATATTAGAAATAACCTATTTTTAATGAGCGTTAATGAATTTAATAAATTTTGCCTATTTTTACAGTACTCCTGTTGGTGTGAGTACACGTTTGTCCGAGCAGCCCTGGTCGTTACTCTTTAGGAGACCACGCACACACAGCTTAATGTACAGCTGCTGGACCAGACATACATGTTCACAGCCAGTTCACAGCCAGTTCTGCCACTCTTGAAGATATCCCCTCAGGCAACCATCTTCACATCCCCCTATGTTAGGATATCCTAAAGTACAGGAGGGCATACTAGAAAGCCTGCAAAACTGCCAAAAGGACAGCTGGAAAGATCCGGTAGACCAAATCTACATCTCAAGCTGCTAATTGATGCCATTAATCTAAATTTCAGATGTCTCAAAATTAAACCACAAATGTTCTAATCTACCTTCCATGGTATGTTCGACCATGCAGGCCTTGAATCTGCAACTCTTTTAAGAGTAAGCAGTGTTTAGTCATGCAAAAGGTCCCATTAACTTCACATAAGGCAAATTCAACGGATTATGTACCAATGTAGAAGTTACAGACTCAATTACTTATTAAGATTAATTGCAAGAACAGGCCCATACTTAGTTTTATTTCGCAAAGAAAATTATTTCTTAAAGGCAATTTATACATTTAAACTTTGGCTAAATCATCAAATGAGATTATTAATAACATCAAAAAATGGCAAGGGAAATACTTGATATTGTTCAGCTAAAGCTACTGTTTAAAAGGAAAGCTGGTTTTTAATATGAAAGCCATTTCAAGGCATCCCATGTATGTTTTAAAAATAAAAAATAAAGATAGAAGTTTCTTCCTATTACTTATGTGGTTTTGTAATAAACATCTTTACATAAAAATTTAGATTCTCATCTATAATTAATTACAGTGACATAATTATACATAATAATATAGACACAAATCCCAAATTACCTTGCACTTATTCCGTGTGCTAGTCATTCTGTTCATCAGAAAGCTGAAAGTCCGACTCACTTTACATTTTTCAGGCTCATTTTTTGAGGGTACAATATATTTATTCCATTCCTCCTGAATCCTAAAACGGAGACCAGTGGGAAAAAAAAAATAATTCCAGTGGGAACAGTGCCTTAAAACAAAGCAGAATCTGGATGGTGCTTATTTCACCTAACATTTACAATTACATGTTTTATTGTGGGCTTAGCTGATGTAATAAAAAGACTGCAGTCCCTCTAGTAACACTAGCCCGTGGAGCACTCTGAATATGCAATGTGTTACAAGGTCACCTAAGATCACGGTTGGTATCTAAAGCTTCCTTGCTTTTATTACAGTGTTTTGGATGTTCCCACCGGGGATAGGAGCTCCTATAACAAAGAGCAGCACATCCCCACCGTGCACGTCCCGCAGCAGCAGACATAAATCCCCACCGCAGGACGTGCGCCGGGGCTGGGCTCAGCACAGGGTTTAAGCGTGGGCTTACGGATCCCCTGGGCAGGGATTGCTCCCCTAAATCGCCGCTAAAAGCCCCCTCTGGGAGGGGTGCGGAGGCCTCTTCCCCTCTCTGCTCCCTAGATGGCATTCTTGCCACAGACCCGCTCCCGCCGCCTCCAAAGGCGGGAGGTGCGTCACAAGGTCCCGTACCTTTTCTCTCGGCACTGCTCGGGCAGACTGTACGCTCGCTCTGCAAGACATAAAGAGTTACCAGGCACTCAGATTGCAAGGTCGATCAGGTTTATTCGAGGCGCACAACCTCCAGCAGGCCATAAGCTTGTCGTTAAGGGCTTGCAACATCATTTGAAAATTAGGAAAGCAAAAACGTATATATGTTAGAAGCAGCTTTTCCTAGGGTAAGACCGCTGCCCACTAGGCTTTCTTTAGTTGACAGAATCTGCCAGAAATGAGACGGGTATCAATGAATGCCAGCCTCTGAAAACAGTCTGCTTTTAAGAATAACAAAAAATAATTATTTCGGTTTTCTTAACAACCCAGACTTGAATGATTCACACTTCATTTTGCTCTTTACATAATTTGTTGTAAAAATTCTTAATTACATTCTTCTAACATTTTCAATTACCTGTCTTACACAGCTTTATCTATAATATTAAAAAATTTTAAATCCCTCTACATAAAGAGGAATATTACTAGTCTATGTATGGTGCAGGATGTGTAATGTGTTACAAGTTTACATCCTAGAAACAGTAGAGAGGACTCAAGGAGACACTTTGTAACAAATTGTCTAAAAAGCAAAACAAAAGATAAATAATTCAGTTGGGTTGTTTTGGAAGGAAAAAAAAAATTATAGAGGCCATTTTACCATTTCCATATTAGAAGCCATTCCGTTTTGCAGACATTTTTTGCAAAGCTACCACAGGTATGGTTCAGAAAGGTACTTAGACACCTGCCTAAACTTAAACACGCTTTGCTGAATCAGCGTGTCTTCACACAAACGTAGACTTCAGGTTAGCGAGAGCTCGAATATTTACCAAAGAAGCAGGGAGACTAAAAGGGCGTTTCCGTTAGTTGCCAGGCACAACCTGCGCCGCGGGATGCTTTCAGAAGAAACGAAGGCCACGTACCCATGGGAGATGAAGACAGCCTCATGCAAAACAGCACCATGGGATTGGCACTGAGATACTTACTACCAGGTTGGAGCAGAGACACTGACTTAGAGAGTGAAAGAGCCTGAAGGAGGGATCGACCACTGTTCATAAGCACACCATCTACAGAGCAGGGACAAATCCTTTACTGTTACAGCCTGGTAGTACCTTCTCAAATAAAAGCAGGGAGTTGTTTTAAACCTGAGCATACTGAAAAGCTTCCATCAGAAATGGAGAGTGATTTCCCACTTTCTTCTCATAGTTTGTGTGAAAAAGGCCATCCTGTTGCCATCTGGCATTCATCTGCTTTGGCTTACATTTCACTGCGATGTACAGGGTCAGTTGTGGCTCCCTCCTGCATAGCTAAGCCCTGAGCAAGATGTCCAAAGCAGTGGCAGCGAGGCAGAGGGGAAGGGGTAGGTTTTCAGTGTGCAGACACCTGCACAGACCCAGACAGAACCCCACTACAGCCCACAGAGATCAGGATGAATTATCTGACCTAATTTCTTGGACCAAGGTCTTGGGCTAGCCCCGTACCCAGACGCAACTGCTCAGAGCGAGCGCAGCTGTGCCTGCCTCACACAGTCACCACTACCGCCAGCTGCCAAACACTCTGTTCAATGCTCCCATCCTTGCAAAATGCTGGCAAGGAAGGGACAAGGCAGGAGGTGCCAGTGGCCGAGAAGTACTAGCAGGAACCTCAGCAGACCAGCACCCTCCCTCCCAGCAGCACACTGCATCTGCGGTGCGGGCTGCAGAACAGCCTGTTTCCAAGGCATGGACAGGAAAGGTTTTCCACCTTCTCCACAAGGTAAAGGTCCAGCACTGACTGTCCCAGGAGGAACGGGAGAGAGAATGAATAGGACACAAGCCCAAGCCCAGATGAGGTCAGAGCATGTAATAGTGCCTGCATGAAGCTTAATGGGCTGTGACATCAACAGTCCCCTAGCTGCAAGGTCAAAGGAATTTTGTTTTAACTTTTAAGCACAGGCCATAGGGCTTCGCTGATCTGCCATCCACTACTTCTGTGACATAGCTCCCTCTTCTTCTTCTGCCTTGTTGTGCCAAAGACTTCTCACCTAATCTGTTGGATAAAAATGGTTACAAATACATTAAGTGATGCAGAAAAATACAACACAGCTGAGTGCTGCAGGCTGCCGTACATACTCCGCCTTAGAAGGGGACATGGAATTTTACAGTGAATTTGAGCAATCACAAACAAGTTATTTGCTGCACTGCTTAACACAGTTTCTTAAGGCAAAAAGATGTCTGCAGTCACTGTACATCTGCCGATCATCTTTCGCCATGCCACCTTCCCATCAGCTTTTGAATTTGTTAACTGGTTTCATAGTTAATGGTAGTATTTCCACAACTTCTGTGTGTTTTTACATTCAGTGTCTTAGAATCATGGAATGGTTTGGGTTGGAAGGGACCTTCAAAGATTACAGAATTATAGAACTGGCTAGGTTGGAAGGGACCTTTAAGATCATCAAGTACAATCATTAACCTAACACTGCCAAACCCACCACTAAACCATGACCCTAAGCACCACATCTACCCATCTTTTAAATACCTCTAGGGATAGTGATTCAACCACTTCCCTGGGCAGCCTCTTCCAATGTTTGATAACCCTTTTGGTGAAGAAATTTTTCCTAATATACAACCTAAACCTCCCCTGGCACAACATAAGGCCATTTCCTCTTGTTCAAGCCCCGTGATCACCTAGATCACCTAGTCCAACCCCCCTGCCACAGCCAGGGACATCTTCCACTCGATCAAGTTGCTCAAAGCCCCATCCAACCTGACCTTGAACACTTCCAGCGGTGGGGCATCTGCAACTTCTCTGGGTGTCCATCCCATCTGGTTCACTGTAACTTACATCTCCTGCCTCTTGCTCAGGACTAGTGGAAAGCTAAAGGTATACTGCAGGAAGAGACAAGCTGCAAGTATGGCAATGGACAGGGTTATAGGGGCAGAGGCCAGGTCTCTTGAAAGGCAAGTGTTTTTTAAGTGATGTGATCTATATGAAAAGCACAGTATGTGTATTTCACGTTTTGCGTCATTTTCAAATATAACCCATACCCTCATTGTGAAAAGTGTAGGTTGTCTTCTAAATATGAAACTATGTGTCTAGAACTAAAGCATGTTAGAAACAATTTGTAAAACATTACAAGCTTCTTGCAGAGACGTCTCTGACTCCATTTCACGAAGAGGGTGGATTTTGCTCCCCAGCCTGTGGAGATGACAATACCCCATCCACATTTCAGAGACTCCCTGGTATCTACAGAACCTGGGGCCATCCGGCCTCTTTGATGCCTCTTCTGTGTCATCCTGAGCTTCCTCATGGTCTCTGCCAGGCATGCAATAGGAGGCTGGAGTAAGTATCTTCCAAAAAGAAGATTATCACCCTTGCCGGAATTACTTTTTCTGACCAGTGCTCTCCCAGTTTGTGTGCCCTCCCGAGTATCAGATGCTGTATCAAGGGAGGATGTGACAGGGCAGTAGATGGGAGAAGAGTGAAGGAGGATGGTAAGGGTGCCCAAAGGCAACCGAACCCTGCTTTCACACAAGTTGGTGAGATCTGTGTATAGGACAGGCCCGAGTAAAGCTGTCAGCACTGCGCCTGAAGCAGGCAGGTATGGGACGAGGCTGTGCAGGTGCAAAGCCAGAGCACTGACCTTCATTTGAATCCTCAACTGCGAAGTCCCGAGGAATGCGAGGTCTTCCTACTAAACCTTTGGGTGAGGAGCAGGAATAGGACCGCGACCGAATCCCAGACACCGTGCATTCCTACAAGAAATTGCAGCAAACTAAAACTTGTGTTGTTTTGAAATGCGTCAGCAACAAAATAAACCAGTAACAGAATTTTTGGAAGAAAGAGAGCTGACCGCACACACATACATTTTCTTGGCTTCATTAAAGCTTTAAGTTGAAGTACAATTTTTGACGACTTCATTTGAATTCTTAGCAAGTCTGTCATAATTCCACTATGATCAATTTTTGTATATTACAGGAAATAATTTGTGGATGCAAGCTAGACTAAAAGAAAGCTTACACTCTTCTCCAGTTTGCTGGCAGATGCCACTCAAACAGTGCTGTTGGCCATTATATCTGATGACTGAGATACCTTCTTTTACCAAGGGAACCATTAATCTTAGTACTTAAATGCCTCAAAAATATTTCTTGGAGACTGACACCCTGCCTTGGTAATTACTGATTTCAAAGTTTCCAGAGAAAGGAGTTAGCCTCTTTCTCTTTCCTCTCTGTGTTTTTTTTTTATTGTGCATGAAAAGATTTTCCAATCCCAAATATGTCAATGATAAGGCTTGAAAGGAAACCCCCTACTCCTACTGCTTACCTATTTTTTTTTAAATGTAGCCCTGACAGAATTTAATATTTGTGCTGGACTCTTTTTCTTGCTTCATGTAATCACTTGTTGAAGGTTAGATAAAGCTTTACATTGGCAAGAAGTCTGTCTAATAAAAACATAAGAAACCCTATGATCAAAAAATACCTTTATGTATGTGTCCGAAGATCTCAGAAATGGCACCATGGTCTAAAGAAAATGAATGTAGCCAGGGTACTTTAGAAAACCATAATGAAGAAGAGATATTTGCACTGGTCAACGCACAAAGCCCAACTGAATTTCCCCGAGTCTGGCAATTGTTTTAAAACAGGCAGCAGGCTGTTTTTATACTTTACAAAGCTGTTACCCTTTCACATAATGACAGCTGGTTAAACATTTCCTCACTAAATGCATTTTGGTTAGAAAATGCTGATTCACTGAACCCAAGATACTTCCTTTGAAACACTTCTGATAAATTATACTTTTTTCAAAGCTGAAGCAAATGTCTGATGGACCCCTCCCATGTCTGCTGCTGAGCCGGGGCACAACCAGGGAGTTTCTGCTCCACAACCCTGGCACGCTTCTCTCCAGAGGGACTAGCACTGCCAACTGGGAACTCATTTTTCCCCCTTCAGATTCAGGTATTTCTCACAGGTTTTCAGTGATGTACTTAAAAGGAAAACAATGCAAACCAAGATAGTATCAAATACCTTGTGCTGCAGACTGGTAGAGAAATCTAATCCATCTCTGCTACAAGCCATGGCTTCTGAAGAGCTGAGGGGAGGGTAGTGAACGTGGGATCTGTCCAAAACACCTCCACTTCCACCGTCTACTTCAAGGTCATCGAGACTCGAACTGAAGCAGACAACAAAGTCTTTAATTCCCATGAATTCTAGTAATACTTCATCTCAACCTTAATGCAATAAGCAAAGATACTGCTGTACACTCTGATCAATGACAACCCAAAACACCATGATTATGTCAGGTAAGTCATGATCTGAGTCCCCTCTCAGGTTTGCAGTCACCTGGTCAAGGAACTCAGTCACTTTGTACAGGACTCGTCAGACCCAACCTTGTGGATCTGCAGTACAGACATTTGCATTGCTTATGATCACACAGACTCCCACCACAGTCAGCCACCTCTGGAGGATGACTTTCAGATCCATATTCAGCATCTCCCTTAAAAAGAGACGTTTTGTTCCACACATGTACCTTCCTCTCTATATAGATGATAAGGAGAACTGAGACAATTAGCTCAGATTTCAGTATTAAGATATGTGGGTATATATGGATATTTTATGAGTGTGTGTATTTGAAAGATATGATGTGGCTATTCACAAGACATTTTTTCTACATCTGTGACTTGATGGAGCATGGAAGAGAAAACTAACAATAGAGATGAAGGAGGGTCTGAGACAGTTTATGAGATTAATTTCTAAAGATATAAATTTAAAACCACATAGGACTATAAAGAGACTGAAAAATCTCTGGCTAAATCAATATTTCAAATACCTAGAGACTATTTGATTGGTGAGGGTTCCTGAGCAGGAGAGTACAGTAAGGTTTCTCAGCAGTACCAGAGTTTCCTAGGATGGGTCCCATGAGCTGCATGAGCAAGTTCATGGTCTCTTCATCAGAATGACTGGAAGGAACGGTTGACTGCTTGCAATAACATACCAGCCTTACAACATAAAACTTCAAATTATGTGTGGTATTTCTAAATAGCCAGAGTTCCTACCAGGAATAATAGCACAACAATTCCTTCACACACCACTGCAATTCTCTTTGTCGAAGGGCAAATCTATCAATACTGTCCAAAACTACTTCCTTATTACACTTCTGGAGACCATCTTTCGCAACGTTTCCTAGTAATAGCCCATGTGATGTCTGAGAAACGAGTCATTTAACTGCATTATCAGCTACTGTCACATTTTAAAATTGGAAAAGCAATACATGTCTATGTCAACAGACAAGCATATGTGTCTTAATGGGGATAACTTACCCAGGGAATTTTTCTGACATAAAAAGCTGGTTTAAAGATCTGCTAAGTAACTTGCCACATCACCTCAGATACTTCAAGGAAGATGCTGCTGGAATTAAATACTGATAGTCTTATTTTATGTGTAATGTCTGGGTCACTTACAGTTGACACATTAAGGTCAATCACATGTCTCTGAAAATTTTTATAAGCTCTTAAAGCTCACACATAGATACCTGACCTAGGTCTTAAAAAATGTATAGCAGAAAAATGTTTATGACAGAGAGGCAGAAGAAGATTATTTATAGTAACTTACATGGTATCCCCGTAGCTAGCAAAAATAAAAGGTTTGGGAAAGATCAACTCTTAGTCTGATGTTTGTTGTCTTATCTGTGTTAAAAGGTTCCTCCTAGAAGGACTTCGTAGTTGCATAAGAAACTCAAAATTAAGGTAGAGAAAATGTTATTGCCCATTTCAATTGACAATGGACAGACACTACTCCTTCCTTACTGTTTTAACATAGATCTGATGCCCTACCTCCAACTAGTCTAAACACTCTTGGAAGGTGGGAGACAGATTCAAATTTCCTCCTGTACAAAAAGGAACTGATTTCATGTCTCTTCTACCCAGAGAAGCAATAAAGCCTTTTTATCAAGGAAATTTTACGAATTGTCAAATACAAAAATTACAGTTTAATCTCCAAAGCTCTGCATTCCTGAAGCCAACCAGTTCCCAGCATAACCTAAAGCCATCTGGAGGACGGTCCTCAGACAACTGACTCTGCTGGCAGCAAACGTGTACCAGCAAAAGAGCAGGAAACAGTCTGAGCCTATTGGAAATGTGATCTGTACTCTGCACTGTGTCTTTTGAGGTAAAAAAATACATGCAATCAGGAATAAGTTAGTCCTTCTCCAGGCCAGTGCAAAGAATGGAAAGGTTCCCAGCGAGTTCAACAGATTTTGAACTATTGTCTTAACAGAAAATGTAACTGAGGAAAACTAGGGTGAAATTCTGGTTTCCGACAAAAACAGCTGATTCTTTTTTCTTTTAAAGAACACATACGAGAAAAAAAAGTATAAAAGTATGTTTGTATTAAACTGAATTGTCTTAGAAGACACCTTTTATTTGTTAAAAATGTCTTCATAACTATTTTATGAAAACAGATCATTAGGACAATTTAAGTATCAGTGACTGAAAACAGTGATTTTACCTTAGTAATAGTATTTATTACTCCAGATTCTGCTTCATCTTTTGAAATAAAAGGTTATCATAAATAATCCTTATTCTGGTTACACCAGTAAATTCCATACCTTCTTCTTTTCATGTCAGCATTAAGTTGGCCCCGATCCTTAATAAATCCATGGGTCTTGAATGGAAGGTATGAATCTGCTCCGTACAGATCAGAAGGTGAAACAGTATGTGTTAAATCTGCATTTTCTCCATTTTTCACTGGCCTTTGATTTCCTTCATTTGGAACACATATATAGTGGTCATTCTCCTCAAGGGAGGGAGACGAAGAGCTCTTAGCCATCGGGATTGAGTTGGTGGGATTCAGACATGTTTCACTGCTGTCGCCATCTCCATGATCGAAGTTAGTCTTTAAATCTCCAGCCTGCAGAGAAAAAATGAATGCTGGTAAGAGGCAGTAACAAGATGTATTGTCAGGGAGTAAGGAACAGATTAGTTTGCCATTTTATTTATGATTATATGTTTGCCCTGTTACTTTTTACGGGACATGAATTGAAGGAAAGTTATATGGCTAAGAGATTCTAGACCTTGCATTACTTTTTTCCATAATTAGAGTAGTCATGAACTGGTATTTACAAGTCTAATGGATTTCTCATTTATATTTACACCTTTTGCTAAATGTATCAATTCATATATTTATAGCTTTTATTAAAAAATATCCTTGAGTCAATCAAAAAATACGCATATTACATTAGTGTGGGAGACATATGGAGGAGAATTCAAACATTGTCCAGTTTAATTTGGAAAGATCACCCTACACATCATGCACTTTTCATTTTCCAGCACCAATTTCCTAAGCTTTGAGATAAAAATACCTGACCTGGAACAGAGGTTCTCCAGGGAAGGAAGGGAAAGGAATCTTTATTTTTTGCCATTAAGCAATTATGGGCATGAAGCATGCACATAATCCTGTCTCCTCTTGCACAGAGACAGGAATGGAGTTGGGAATTATGTTTTCTTAGGTACAGGGATCAGGATTTAGACCCTGGCAACTAATAAATCTTTGTGCACCTAAGGTTGAATTCTACTGTCAACTCTGCATAAGATATTAAAATATAATTTACTGTAGATGCTACTAACTAAAAGACACTGAACAATAGTAAAAAGTCACACGGCCAGCAAAAACACTCAACCTCCAAAAAGCACCTACATAAAAGCAAAAAGAAAGGAAGGATTGCAAGCGTATCCAAAGCCCTGGTCTTTTCAGATTGTTGAATTCCTCCTTTCTGACCCCACTTGAGATGCATTTTCATCCCCATCATAATTATGTTTCTCTCAGTAAAAGACAGAAAGAACTGCTGGCATTTTTACAGCAGCCCATATTTGCATCCACAGATACAGCGCATGCAACTCTGGAAGTACTGCCGTGGCGTTGTGCAGATGAGATGCATGAAGCTAAAATGCTTCTTCCACGTCTTACACAGCTGTTCTTCCCTTCAAAGTTATTCCTGCCTGGGCAGCATTTCCCCTCAGCACCAGAAGGACCTCCTCCGGCAGCTGCTGCTTCTCCTGCTGCATGGTGCTGAGGGAAGAATTTGGCCACAGTCAGCAATTTAACAAAGTTGAGTGCAGCTATGTACTAAGCAAAGCTTAGTAATCCAACCTGAAGGACCCCCCAGCAATACACTCAGGTAATATTTGCATCTGTAATGGATCTGCGCTTCTGCAGCTCTATCCTTCCAACCTGGATATTGTTGAAATCAAGGGTTCACAGACTGCATATATAGTCCCTTGCCAGTTGCTCACTCCTACGTTATTATTTCATGCATCTCTCAGTAACCTTAAGTGCATTTTGAACATCGTGGCCTCTGACTGAAACTTCCATCTCAGCTGACACAACGAACTGGATCTGCAGTGAATGCAGGGGCTGAAGTGCTTCAGGGAAGGAAAAAAAAAAAAAAGGAAAAAAAAATCACACTGGCAAAATCTCAGCCCTCTTCTAACATTATGGTCTGGACACTTCTTACCCTTGTATTCCAAGTTTCACCTCAGTCAGAGCCCAAATAAATAAGTCACTTCAACCATCACTGAAACATAGCTACCAGCCACCAGAATTTGGCAGCTGTTTTAACTACACACAACCACTATCCACAAGAGTTGGACTAGTCCCCCCTGACGAAGTTATGATATCTGAGTGCGACCGTGGGGAAGGGATTTCAGGTGCAACATGGTGATGTAAAATATAATTTGGTCTGGACACTCTGGCTCATCTCCAGTGCAGGTGACAAATAAATCAGAAACATGAATGCTAAGTCAGGATCTCCAGTATCCAAATGCTCCGTGTCAGTTGTAGACATCGGCTTCACTTTTTCAGCAATATCTCATTTTTGCTGAGCCTCTAAACTTAGCTAGCAGCTTATAATTAACTTCTGAAATTAGGCAACATCAGCAAATTCATCTCTTTTGTGAAGGTACATAGAATTCAGAAAATCTGAAGTGCACAGGAGCAAGTTACATTGTGTTAATATCTCTTAGAAAGAAGTAAACACTATTTAGCTTACAAACACACAGAAAAGACAGTAAGTCTTAGAGTTGTCCCTAGAGACTAGGGAAAATAATTCCTATCAACTGAATCTGTTAAAAGGGACCTCATAAATGGGTTACAAAATACAGCTGAGAAGCGTAAGGTATTACTGTTTTCATTTTAGAGCTTTACTAATTGGCCACACACTGCTGCTGACAGATCAAGAAGATCCTACTATCACACAAATAAGTTACTTTAACAGAAGACGACAAAAAATTTGCCAAAAGTTCACACAAAAGCTTACTTGGTCTACTACCATGCAATTCGCATATACTTCATCGCTTCCACTCAGCATGGCAGAATGTCTGGTTGCAGCAAAGAAAGTAGGTGGTGCCTTGAATTTCCTGAGAACTTCAAGAGTAGAGAGTCTCTGCTCTGGAAAAAAGAAATTGTGGCAAACATGCTATTAAATCTCAAACCATTTACTTCTCATGTATACACACTGTCATAAAAATGGCAAAGTTAAACATTAAGCACCAGATCTCAGGATTACAATTTGAGTAATACTTGTGTGGCCACTCAGAAATCTGCCCATTTCTTAATTGCTTAATGCGCGCTATATGTTCCAAGAAGCCTATAGTTGACAAGACTCTAAAAGGTACCACAGAATCATTCACGTAACTTAAAAATAAGTGTTCCTGGATCTTAGCAAAACTGTCCACCCAACCTAGAACTTTGTAGAGATCTGTGGCTGAAGAACATAGGACAGGATTTATGGGGTGGGATGAAATATGCATGATTCTGGCCTATACATTAAATACCTAACTTCTGATACATTATATGAGTGGAATACTGTTCAACTGCAGTCAAATAATGACTCTCCTAAAGCATTCTACCTACTGGGAGCAACATAAATACTAATAATAAACCAATAAAGCAGATTACTGTTCTTAAAATAAAAAAAACAGCAACAAAATCATAAAAGTGATATATATAAAATACTACTAATAGTGCCTTTACAGGGTGACAGCAATCAATCAAGATTTGCCCCATGAACAAGACAATTGGGATGAAGACTGCGTCTGATCAGCTTTTGGTAATGAAATGAGAAATTATCAGTTTCACCAGAAATCATTAACAGAAGTTCAGAGTTTAGTTTTCAATAGTGTGTTCATGACTGCAAATATTATAAAGAGCAGCATGGGCTGCGACTTTTATTTCATGGAATTGAGCGGCAGAAAACCTAACCAAGTGCTATGGAAACACTGTCAGTCTGTCCTGCAGGCTCACTTCTCTTAAAGCTGCTTGTAAGTATGAAGAGCATGCATCAATCCAGCATTTCAGCTGGTAGTCAAGCCCTCATATTAACTTCTGAGAGCAAAACTTGACAAAGTGGAAACCAGTCTTGTTCTAAACTGTGTGAAAACAGGCTTTTAAAGAAAACCAGTTGTAATGTAATTTTCTTTATTTTAAGATGCTGTAAGTCAAGCATTGCCATTGGAAGTGCACTGAGATAAGAATGAGAATGATGTGATAGAAGAAAGTATTATACCCAGCAAAACATACTCAAAACTCAAAAACCAAAACTCTCAATAAACTTAATTCCTGTTTGTCTGTTATTGAAAACTATGAAAAAAACCCATTCTTAGTCCGCATCAGAAATTTATTTTCTGCAAAGGTGGAAAGGAAGAGATAACACTAAAGACTCTCTCCAGTCGATATTCTTAAAGCAATGTAACTGCTTTTGGAAGATCACAGAATCATATAGCATGGTATTGGATGTAAGGGAACTTTATAGATCATCTAGTCCAACCTCCCTGCCATGGGCAAGGACTTCTTTCACTAGATCAGGTTGGTCAAAGCCCTATCCAAGATGCCTATGGCCATCAGAGTGCAAGAAAAGTTATAATGAAGAAATGGGACTGGATTAGAAACTACATTTGTCAGAATATGGGGCATTTGTTTCGTTGAAAAAAAAAAAGTCCAGGACGACTGCCAAAACTGCACTGCTACACCACATCATTTATTTAATGTTAAGATGCTATCTCATAAGGCTACTCATAAGTAAGCTCTATACTTAGAGAAAACTGGAAATTCCCACTTAGAAATGGCACACTATGAACTATTTGGTTTCTAGTCCTGGCAGGCCTTGCGGGGTCCCATATCATTAAAACATCCTTACACTTCACATTTTGCTTCTCCCTTCTTCAGGAATTTTAACATGATTTTAGTGACTGCCATCTTGAGAACTGCTAAAGCTACAAACCATTTCCTTATGTCTGCCAAGATCCCAAAGCCTTTGTTTACAAATAGTATAAAAGCATTGTTTTCTACAGCAGCTCATCAGTCTTTGGCAGCTAAAATCGTACAGAAATGTGATTTGGCAAAACTGGCAGTACTTTCTTGTGGCAAGTAAAGCTTTCCAAGGGCTGGTCTTAAGCCAACAACCAGGAAGAAAAAAAAATGTCAGGCTCTCCACTGCTTCTCGTATGCTTATTACCTTCCCCAGCACACACTCCTTCTTGTATATAAATCCGCTGGGTACAATGGGCAAGGGTGCTATTCAGCTCCAGGGCTTGGCTGCAAAGGTTCAATACATACCCCTGAAAAACAGCCTAGGCATTAGGCATTCACAAATCACGGCGTAAACCCGAGCCTATGGAAACAGTTTGTTGACTTCAGCAACAGTCCCCACTGCTGGGGTCTCTACAGTCAGTTAATGGACTGCACTATGAATTACATGTCCCGAGCCAGAAACAGCAAAATCCCCCTATTACTTCACAATTTTATTTATTTTACATTATTTTAAAATAATACATTTCACATTATTTTAACATTCTGTAAGAGAGTATCAACCTAAGTAACAACTCCTGACGAAAGCTGCTGCAAATACCAGACATACCAGAATATGTTATCTGCAGTACTTTCCATCAGTACATCTTTATTGATTATCACTGCTAAATGTCGTATGTTTTTCTGGTGGTGCTACAGTCAGTCTGTTTTTAAAGGTGAGATGTCTAAATAAATATTTGTTGGGGTTTTAAATGATCAGACAAAAGGTGGCAGGTTAGTTTGGGCTTCACGTTGCGCTATGACCTCACTGTACCTCCTTAGTCCCAGTCCAACCCCCAATTTCAAACACGCATGAAGGGACGACTACACCAAACTAACTTTGTAACACAAGAAATATTTAAAGACTTCGCTGAATGCAGGGGAGAGCATTATTAATTACACATTGATTGTGCTAGTAACTTATTTCCACTGGACAGGCCCACATAGTTTAAAAAGTGACAAAACTGTCGCAAACGTCCAGATCACACACTGCATTCCTACAGCCCCACTAATTGCCTCCAGCCTGCCTTGCTGGCTGCAAATCATCTCAGTCTTACAGGGACCATCAGCAGACCTTCCTCCAGCTTAACATGGCAGCAGGTAGTAGCTCACTGCACTGGGTATCAGTAGTAACATGCAGCAAGGCTGTCCTTGCCTGAAAGATGAAGAGTATCAACAAAATGCATTTTCAAACAAAATGTCTCAAAAATCTCCCCTACCTACTCGAAATGCTTATTCTCATGGCAGATGCAAAACTTGAGCACAGCTTATGGAAAGACAGATAAGACTGCCAGGGAAAACTGGCACTTCTTGTGAGAGTCAAGGTGTCCCAAAGAGTTTTAGCTCTAAAGGGTGTCAGTAATGGACTTCAGGATGCTTACTAAGGTAAAAATGACCCAAATATGACACAGCAGAATTGGCTCTAGAACTGAAAAAACCCAGCAAGCAAAGCTGGTCCTCCTGCCAGAGCTGAACATGCTCTGGCTGTATAATGTGCCATGACCACACAAAAAGAATAAAATAAAGGCATGTCTCCTTTAGCAGAGCCTGTGGCTCTCTGCCATCTGCCTGGTAAACAGTCAAGAAAGATGTATGCGTTATTTAGATGTAGGTGAACAACAGCCACAGTGCTGGGAAGGATAATCTCCAAACATGGATAAAATAAAAGATCTTGACCAATGAATAACTAGGCACAAGTTCTCTCCATCTTCTGTAATGTTGTCATCAAAGTTATACAGCAAAGGCTGCACATTTTACCAGGCACAAAAGCTTATAAAAATACTTTAACTTAAAAAAAACACATGATCATCACAGCAATAATTCAAAACACGCTTTATGTTGGCATACGAAAATGTATAGCCTTGAATGACCTGTGTCAGAGAACGACAAGAACATAACACTGCCTGTTTTTCCACAAAAATCAAAACTTAAATCATTCCATGAGACAGCACACAGCAAAAGAGAAATGAAATACATCAACATGACCAAACTGAGAGCCAGGAAAGAAATTACAAATTCCCTTCTCCAGATACAATGAATAGTTTTCAGACAGCTCATCGCATTTACCCCCAGCAATCTGAGCAGGGGTTAATGTATAACTGGAAGTAACAGACCTATGAAGTCACCAAAAAATGTAGACAGCTAAGCGTATGGGCCATGCAGGACTGCAGAAATACTCCTCTAAATCCAGAAGTGGTGACCTGAATTTGGAGAAAAGTCCACACGTTCCTGGTGAGGGGCTGACCGAAGTGACATGCACATCTGTGGATATAGACCATACAACCAGTTTCAATGGGGGATCTGCATCCCTAATTCAGATGTCTTAGTGCTTCATTCAGGCAGTGCAACTACTCATGACAGCAAAATTAAGCAAGATCGTAAGAACAGCATTACATGGAGCGTAAAGCGAGGTAGGCTTTCAAGTGCTGCTGTCATAAAGACATTTAACTGTCCTAAATCAATGGAGTGAAAACCAAATCACTGCATTTGCTACATACTGTGTCAAGAGGATTGGGCATCTGGATCATGCCATCATGTTCAAGATATAGTCCTAAGAAACACTGAGTATAAAGGCACTTGTCAATCCTTGACTTTGATCTTTGTCACCTAAATGTCAGATGCGAGAAAGTGTCCCTTTCCAACACGGAATTCACAGCCCTGACCTCCCTCCCTGAAGCAGGCAATTTACTTACTATACGAATGAACATACAACCAGAGCATAGATCATGAGCCGGCTGTCCCCCTGCAGAGGCACTTCTCCCACCCTGTGGGCAGAAAGGATTTCAATTCCCCCAACACAAGGGAACCTTTGGACTTTACCACTAAAACATCCACCTTCTTGCTCCAGCAACCCCACACATATGGCCAGCTGTGCATACAAGCCACATGCACTGGTATACTATTAGCAGGGATGGGAAATGCCATGCAATACCATAACATGCAAACACCAGATCTGTATACAGTGCTTTACAACAGGTGAAACATTTAAAAAAAAAAAAAGCTGTCTAAAGGTAAAATAAGTAACAACAACAGTGCCATGGAGGATGGGTGTACGGCTACAGCATTTACAGATAAATCGAGTCCTCATGAGAGATGGAAAGAGC